TTTTTTCTCCGGTACCAGGAACCGAACTCACGACCTTGAGCTTGCCAGGCAAGCGCTTTTGCCGCTGAGCTAAATCCCCAGCCCCTAAAAGTTTTATTTCTTAAGTAAGTCAGATGGTGTATGTGACCATGGGTCAGAATTAAACGTGTGTAGCAGGAGATAGTGAGTGTTACCCTCCTGCCTTTGTGCTGCCAGTGGTCTCAGTGTATCATTGAGATATGCTGTGTGTGTGTGATTCCACTTCTGCTATGTTTTACACATTCCCTGTCCCCAGTTGTAGCATCCTGTACATACTGCACATCCTAACACAGCTACTGTATACTGCCTTTTAATGCAGGGTTTAATTGGTGACAGTACAGAAGAAGCTTTCTGTGTTTTTGTTAAAAGGCTGCATGATATTCTGCATTGTAACTTGTTGAGCAGTCTCTTAGTGATAGGCTTTTTGATGTTTTTGAACTTTTGCTATGAAAACCAGCATGCAGTTCATCTTATGTACCTCATTTCACACGTGTATTTTCAGGCTAAATTTATAGAAGATCCTGTATCAAAGGATTTTGATAGATGTTGCCAAATTACTTCCTATCAACATTTTATCAAGTTATATTCCCACGCATAATGTGTGCCTCTTTCCCTACGCCTTTGCCAGCCTTTGGTGTTATCAAGTTTTTAAATCTCCTAAGATAATTTGCATCTATTTTTATTAGTCAGTTTATGCATTTTTTTTTCCTGTTTTTAAATCTACTTGTTTTTCCTTTTTTATGGTTTGTATTTACCTTCTTTGCCCTTTTTTTCTTATTACAATTGTCTTAATGATTTTGAGGAGCTTTTTGTACAGTAGGGAAATTAGCGTTTCTGTGATACAGATTGCAAATACTTTTTCAGCTTGTCATTTGTGTTCTATCTTCTGTGGTATTTGTTATGAGATTTTCAGATTTTTATGTGGTTAAATTTATTAATATTATCTCTCTCTCTTCATTAATATTTCCCTCTCCTCTTTTCTCCTCTCCCTTCCCCTCTCTTCTTTCTTTTGGTTAAATTTATCACTGTTTTTATTCTCTTTCCTCTTCTTCTCCCTTTCCCTTCCTGTGGATCAAACCTAGGGCCTCATGCATGGAAGGCAAGCACTCTTATTACTGAGCTACATCTCCTATCACTCAGTATTATCTTATATGCCTTTGGGTTTTTGGGTTATAACTAGGAAGGCTTTACATCCTCTGAGGTTAAAAACAGTTTGCCAGTAGTTTGTTGTAATACTTTTATAGTTTAATTAAAACATTTTTTTCCCTTAGTACTGGGGAATGAACCCAGGGACTTTACACTGAGCTACATCCCCAACCCTTTTTATTTTGAGACAGCATCTTGCTAAGTTGCTAAGTTGCCCAGACAGGGCTTGAACTCGTGATCTGCTGCCTCAGCTTCCTAAAGTGCTGGGCTTGCAGACACGCACCAGCCACTTGTGCAGCATGACTTTGGAATTTATGTTCTCTAAGAGTATGAGATTATGAATTCAACTTTATGTTTCCCTTGGGATTGCATAATTGTGCACAAACTGTTTATTCATTTATGTTTTTCTCTACTTATCTAATATGCCACACCCTCTACCCCATACTAAATTCTTGTATGTATTTGGGTATATTTTTAGACATCTTATTCTGTTCCACTGGTCTGTTTGTGTGTTGATGCTCCATTATTTTACTTTATTTTATTTTATTTTATTTTTTGGTTTTTCTCCGGTACCGGGAACCGAAGTCACGACCTTGCGCTTGCTAGGCAGGCGCTTTTGCTGCTGAGCTAAATCCCCAGCCCCATCTCCATTATTTTAATTAGTCAGTTTTAAAGTCTAGTAGAATTTTTCACTCATAATTACTTTTCTTTTTTACAATTTCATATTTATTCTTCCTTAAAAAATAAAAAATATTAGAATCAGTATGTCAAGTTAAACAGTTCTGTTGAGTTTTTTAATTAGAATCTCACTAAGTTAGTAAACTAACTTAGGGAAAAATTGACATCCTTATGATATTGAGTCTTCCAAGGGTCTGGTACACTTTAAAACTGGTTTGATTTTTGTATGTGGGTATAATTTATAGGAGCAGGTTTTGCCTACCTTTTGTTGATTTTATTCTTAGGTGTTTTGTGTTTTTTGTTTCTAAGGTATGGAAAAGATCTTTCTTTTCCCTCTTCATACTTGCTGGAGAGTTATCTATCATTTGTACATGAGAGGTAGTAACAAAAGGCCAGTTATGTAGCCAGGTGTTCTACAGAATTCTCTTTTTAAAAAATTGAAATAAAAGTCACATGACATAAAATGGACTGTTTTAAAAGCATAGAATTCGTTGGCACTTTGTACTTTCCATGTTGTACTATTGCTTCCTCCGTCTAGTTTCAGAACATTTTTGTTACTGGAGAAAAAAACCCCATGCCCATGAAGCAGCCACTCTGTCCCCCTTGCCCAGCAAGCACTCAGCTGCCTCCTCGTCTCTATCATTTATGTACTCTGGACATCTCATGTGGGTGGAGTCTACAGTATGTGACCTTTCCTGTCTGCTTTCTTCATTGAGCAGAATGTCTTTCAAATTTATCCATGTTGTAGCACGTATCACTACATTTTTAAAAATGGCTGAGTAATATTCCATTGTGTGGCTATATCTCCTTTAGTTTATTTAATTGTCCTTTGGACGTTTGGGTAGCTCTCACCTTTTGGCCACTGAGAATATACTGCTTTGAGTGTTTGTGTATGTTTGTTCAGAACTTGTTTTAAATCTTGGGAAATGTTCCTGGGACTGGAATGCTGGGTTATATGGTAAATTATAAATTCAACTTTTTTTTTTGTCTTTTTGAGTCAGGGTCTCGCTATGCAGTTCAGGCTGGCTTTGAGCTCACTTTGTAGCCCAGGCTGGTCTCAAACTCGCAATGATCCTCTTGCCTCAGCCTCCCAAGTGCTGGGATTACACACGTGTGCCACCATGCCTGGCTATAAATTCAACTTTTTGAGGAACTGCCAACCTCTTTTTCAGTGTCTATAGCATTTTATATCACTACCAGCAATATTTGAGGGTTCTGCTTTCTCTACATTCACTATAACACTTTTTTTAAATGGCCATCCTAATATCTGGTGGTTTAAATTTGGATTTTCTTAATGACTATAATGATGTTGAACATTTTCTCATGCTTTTTGCTATTTGTATATTTTTTGAGAAATAACTTTTCAAGTCCCTTGCCTGTTTTTTAATTGGGTTGTCTGTTTTTGAGTTGTAGGAGTTCTTATCATATTTTGGATAATAGATTCTTACCATGTGAATGATTTGCAGGATTTGAAGTAGTTTTATTTTTGTTGTTGAGTCTCTTGTTTTTTTTTTCAGGTATAGAATTGTCTCATCTGCAAGTAATGCTTTCTTTTTCCTTAATTTTTTTACTTCTAATTTCTTTGTCTTGGTTAATTGCATTGACTGTTGCCTCTAAAATGTTTTAAATAATAATGGTGATAGTGAAAACCCTTATTGTTTTCCTTGCTGAAATGGAAATGAAGATGACATTCTCCGATTATTTAGCTAAGCCCGTATTTTAGCTTATTTCCAGTTATTTACCAGTGTAAATAACATTGTTATGAACACTTTAACATAAATTCTTTCTGTATTTGACGTTATTTCCTTGGGTAACTTTCAAGTGAAACTGCTTGATCTAAGACTCTTGTAAAAATTGTTACAGTGTAATTTAAGAAATTGTTTTGTATTAACATTCTAAGGCATAGTCCATTGCTGGACTCCACTTACTTGGACATGCAAAAAACTGAAACATCTTTGCCTATTTACCCACCTTCTTCTATGAATAGAGAGCAGAAAGTAGTTGAGTGGTCACAGGGAGATGATTTTAGCTTTTCTTATTTAGGCTTCAGTTGTAGAGGCCTCTTGTACTCCAGGCAAACTGCTCTTGTTACAGACTTTATTTTAGTGTTTGGATTGGCACATTTCTGTGAGTGTAGTATGGACCTGAGGTGAGATGAGGCATGCTGTGCTTTGTATCCCAGAGTTCCAGATGATAAGGTAGGGCCAGGGAACCAGATGAGAGTTGGTTATGCATCTTTCTTCTAGACCAGCATTGTTCTTCTGCAAAAGCTCATGAGGTACAAGTGTAGAGAGCCCTCTGCTGCTGCTGTTCACCTCCCAGCTCTCAAAGTGTGTAGACAAACACGTGCTGTCAGAGTTAGCGGTCCTGCCAGAATGTTGCTATCTAGAAACCACAGGAGCTCTGTTGCTGTTCTTGTTGAGTGGTTCATCTCATCTCTTAGGGCTTTCTTTTCATTCTTCTGTGATGACTTGGTGCCTCAGTGTGTGGATGAAATTTAGCCTACTCACTACTATTCCCTTTAGATTGTCTCTAGAATTTTACCCACCATGTGCAGATGCTTTGAGATTATGGTATCTTTCTGTATTGAAGTTTCTGAATGGAGTTTCCTAGTTACTGTGTTTTTTATTTCCTTTAGTTTCAGATACTTCATCAAGATGAATCAAATAAAAGAGAGAAAATCAGAACGAAGGGAACTGACTTGGAAGATGACCTGAGAGATGAAGTAGAAGATGCTGTCCAGAAAGTTTGTAATGCAACTGGATGTTCAGTTAGTATTCCCGCCATGCCGGGTTGCTCTTTCTAGTTTACTTGCTAGTTTGATAGCCTCTCTGTGACATGCCAACGTGTGATGGACCACACAGGTCCAGGAGATTGGTAGTTTTGGGTTTTGTGATATAATTTAATGAGAGCTGTTTATTCATTTCCCTCTTGTTTGCTAGACTTTACCCAGTATTGCTCAGAATTCTAAGGTGTGGATTTAACTTTTCTTGACTGATAGTCACAGTAGTAAAATACAGTTTTATAAAGAAGATTCCTTTGCAAATGTATTATAAATTTTTTTAAAGTAAGCAACCTTAAAAAAAAAATAAAGTAAGCAACCTTATTTAAAATTGACATTTTCTAAATGGAGAGGGTCTTAAAACCTTGTGCCAGTGATTGTGGTTACATGTTTGTGTTATCAAAGTAATGAAGTGGAACTAAGTGGAAAAGTATATCTGGAGTCTTGAAGTGTTTCTTTGTTTCTTGGATAGGATTTTAATTTAATAGTCCAGAACCTGGAAGCTGAAAATTATAATATTGAATCTGCAATAATTGCAATGCTTCAGATGAACCAGGGGAAAAGAAATAGTAAGTCCATTACTGTTATTTAAAATGATTGTATTGGTGATTTTACAAATATTTATATTTCTTAATTTTAGTTTTATTATTTTTTTTAAACAGTACTAGGGATTAAACCTAGGAACTTTGCATTGAGCTATATCCCCACCCCTATTTTAATCTTTTGAGAAAGGGTTTTGTTAAGTTGTTCAATTGCCCAGGCTGCTCATCCTCAGCCTCCAAATGTATATTTTTGATGAACTCACTGGTAGTTACTGGACTGTCATTTATCCATTCACTCAGAATTGCTTATTTAGCACTTCCTAAATGACAGCATGTTTTACTAGGTCTTGGCCCTGCATCAAGAGTTTGGGGGTGGGAAGGGGATTGTGGAGACAGATAGGTAGCCGTTGTGATATAATAGTATCTAATGGGGTGGGAGAGCATTGTGCTAGGAGAATACATGAGGATGCCTAACCCACTCTTGGAGGGTTGGAAAATCTCTGGGAAGATTGTCTTTCTAGAAATAAGATCTTATAATATTTGAATGATAACTGAAGAAATAAATACCTTATTTTTGTAGTGGAAATGTTTAGTCTTAGCACGTATCAACTGATGATAATTCAGAGTTTTTTTTCTTGAACTGAGTTTAATTTTGTGACTCAGAGGAAGGAAGATGTAGCATCATAATAATTGCTTGACTTATTTACTTAAAATGATGTCAATAAATACTCATTGCAGGGGCTGGGGATTTAGCTCAGTGGCACAGCGCCTGCCTGGCAAGTGCAAGGTCGTGAGTTCGATTCCTGGTACTGGAAGAAAAACGAAAAACAAACAAAAAAAAACAAAAACAAAAAAATAAATACTTATTGCCAGACATTGTCTGCCATTTGCTTACTATTCCTGACGGAACAGTTTCCCAAGTGATTAGTGTTTTGCATCCACTTTATATAATTGCCATGCCTCCCTCAAAAGCCCTAAGTAACTGAGTCTTTCTGACATCGATCAGCATTTTTTGGTATTTGCTGTTTAGTTTGGTGTGTACCAGACAGGGGGAGAACGAGACTGAGAGCTGCCTTTTTAAGTATTACTTAATCTTAATTCAAATTTTAGTAGCCACAGGTTGTTTAAAAATTTAAGGTTTACCTCTCATTTTGTCCCCATGTTTCCCACTGTATTGACTTGATACTACAATTTTTTATCATAAGGAATTGCTTGAGACAGGATTGTTTCTTCCTAATGACAGTCATTTGGGGATCCAGGTGAAGTTGGATTCATTTCACACAGGAAACGTATTATATGACTGTTATGTTCTCAATTTTAATAAAATGCCTTTCTTTGGAAGACACAGAGGAGAATCCTGAGCCCAGTGGCCGAGTGCTCAATCAGTGTGATCCTTTATGGGAGGATGGCGGCACTGGCACCAGAATCTTTGGAAAGCAGGGCTTGAATGAAGGCAGGACTGAAAACAGTAAGGCTCGGACCAGCCCTAGTGAAGAAAACAAAGCACATAACCAGCTCCCAAAGGTACGCGGGAGGGGCTGGAGAGGACAAATGGTGGGCTGCCGAAATTTCGTGGCAGTGGTGGGAATTTGAATTTCATTTTAGTTTGTATTTTTCTCTTGATTTCTAAAAGTAGTTATTGTGGAAAATCTAGGGAATGCATAAAGGTTTATCAAGAAGCAGAATGAAGGCTTTATCTTGTTGTACACAGTAATAACCAGAAGGATGTATATGCCGAAACTATCCTCTGTGTACAAACACGGAGCTTTCTGCCACTTAACTGTGTGGGGGGTTCCTCCTGCATTAGTCTACATTTATAAATGTCATGTCTGCAGCGGATAGCTTTGTGTATTGTCTTTGTGTTCTGAATTAGTTTCTTGCATAGAATCCCAGGAATGTAGTCAGCAGGTTAAAGGGCATGGATAACTGAATCTTTTTAAGGCTTTTGGTAAATCGTCAGATGCTTCCCAGAAAGGTTGTACATCTTCCTTCCTGCTTCCCAGTGCCACAAGTAGATGTGACATCATTTTACTGAATTTGGATTTTATTTAAAAGACTTTATCAAAAGTTCTGAATTTAAAATGCCATCTACAGCAAAAAACCATAGGCAGAGGCAAAGATGTCTTGAGCTTTGAGCATTTTATTACAGTTACCTGGGCTTCTAAAATACAGACAAGGTCCCCTGGCCCCTTTGAGTGTTTTCTTTTGCTCGATTAGGGGTAGACTCTCTTTAGATCATTTTGAATTATGAGGAGAATGGAATTGATTTTGTTTGCTAGTGCAGCCAGGGGATACACATTTCAATGTAAATTTGAGCAGTAACGGAACATAAATCGTTCACAGTCCCTTAGGCTGGTTCTCTGTTCCTGCTGAGAAGCAGCCCGAGCCTTGTGTATCCCTCAGCCCAGCGTCTCCATGCAGCAAGCAGCAGCCTGAGTCAGCTATGCTGGCCGACTGCTGCAGTGGTTTCCCCTTTCAGGTCACAAACAAGCACAGGAGGGAGCAGCAGCGGCAGGAGAAGAAGAAACGACAAGAGGAAAGGCATCGTCTCAAAGCCCTGGAGAGCAGGAGCAGCCACAGGGACAAAAACAGAAGCGAAGCAGATGTGAACGAGCAGGTCACCTTGGTGAAGACCTTTGCTGCTCTGAACATCTGACTCTGGTCTCCTGGGAACTGTGAGAAGCAGATGGAACACGGTGTGGCGAGCCGGGCCTTCCGGCGAGGCCACCCTTTGGCCAGTGGAAACGTCACCAACAGAACCCGCACATAAATTCACACTGAGTTAGTTTCCTTCACGCTGCCTCTCTTTTGTTCAGAGTTTTGTCAGTGCTGTATTTTGTTTCATGAAAGTACAGTGAAGCCATTCATATTCTGTAATACCAGTTTAAAATACTGAGTTTTAGGGGTCAGGAAAAACCTTTCAAGTGTGGCTTTGTTTGCCCCAAAAATCAGAGTTCAGTGACCCTGGAACCTTCCCTTAACCCGTGGGGTGAGTTTTGCTGTAATTATTCATGAAGTAGTTTAATTATTAGAAATTCAGAATGATAAATTTTCTTAGTTTTTCTTTCCTTTTCAAAAGATATCAACATATAGGGTGGCTTATAAATGATTTTCACCTCAGGAAAATACTTAGATTTAATTTCATTCTTATCCAGGTTACTCACATATTGATTCAGATAGCGTTTTCCCAAAGTAATGCAATACAAGGGGTGGCCTGCAGCTGTCTGGGTAGAAAATCAACAGCTGTGTCTCCCTTCTTCCCGATGGATGTTGTTTCAGATGGTTTCAGTCGAACTCAAGCCGTAAGATGCGTGCACCTGACTGTCAGGGAGGCCTGACTTTGCTAAGAGGTTGACAGTAGTGTTGGTTTGGGCACTCGCTGATGGTAGGAAGATGGTTGGTACTGCTTGTGAGGCATTCTGGGATTCTGATTACCTGTGGAGCAGTCTGTGGAGGGAGAAGTTGGGACTCCAGGATTTCTGCCTAGGAAGAGCCTCAAAATTACTTGCCTTCCTAGGAGGGCAAGTCTGGAAGGACAGCTTACGGATTTTATATGTTCACAATTTAAGTAACTGTACATTCTGCTAAACTATTCTAGACATAGAAAAATGCCTTCAGAGAAATAAAAGGTAACTTGACCTTTTAGTTCACTGCATTTTCTTAGTATTGTAGAAATGAAATCCCATAAAAGGTAGCATTTATTTAAACCCTGTGGGGATTTTGATGTCAGGAAAACTCCAGCTTTACCTGAGGCTGGCGGCAAGTCACATTGTACTGGCGGGGAAGGGCGCTCTCGTTGGCTAAGGCCTGTGATTGACTCCACGGTCTGAAACAGACTGAAGCAGGGAGCAGATTGCTTTCCCGAAACTGAGTTGGGCGGATGTGAGCTTTAAAATTGTCACATGCGCGGTGGCGTCTTAGACACAGGTCCTTGCCCTCTGGGACCCTCTCATTCGGGCAAATAACATATCCTGACTCGAAAGGTAAATTATTTGTTGTCTTCTTCGTCCCTAGATTTCAGAATTGTGAGACTCTAGAGGTGAAGGGAAAACCAAAAAATTTTGATGTGTGTAGGCTGTGTCATTGTCTAGACAGGCTCTGGAGCTGTCGTATTGTTATTCTCAGTAGGCTGTTTGCTTTCTTCAGTTTTAATGACGTCTTTTAAATTTTTGTTTTACTTTGGGACTCCATGGTTGGAGTGTAGAAGTCTCTAGGAATTGCTCCTGGGACGCTGTGATGTGGGCTTCTTCCTGGCTACTGTACGTACAGTATTTCATAGATTTGAAACTGCATGGCATTTTTTCTCGCACATCCTGAGACCTAACATTGAGATTGTAGGACTCTGTCCAAACAGGGGAAGGCACTGAGCTGCCTTCCGCTAAAGGGGTGGAGGCAGGTGCTTAAGGATCAAGTCTTCTCCCTTTCACGTCTAGACAGGTTCCTGGCTGGCTGAGCCTTTCTGGGTGAACAGCTTTCTTACCTGCTTTGTACTGTGGAAGTGCAGAAGACTGGATCCTCTCAGAAAGATCGAGATTGTGTCCCAGAAGCTCAGAGTTCAGAGTTAGAAATAGTGTACAGGAGACCCACTGTCAACAGTCATAGAACTGCTTTATTAACTTGGTTAGTGAAGTGACCTTGGGCCTACTGAGTTTTAGAAGTTTTAGAAGCTGCTAAAGTTACTAAAGAATATTGGGAACATTTATTTATAAAATACCTAATCCTGGTAATAGGCTTCAGCATTTCTTGGGTACAATAACAGTGGTTTTCAAAACTAATCCAATGACTTTAGTAATTTTCTTTCATTCCTGTTTCACAGCTGCATTCACAGTTTCACAGCTGCATTCCTGTTTCCAGCTGCATTTGGTTTGTGTTTAGTGTGTTAGCTATTAGAAATGGGGTACTGGCATCCATCTTCCGCGGTACCTTCTCACTGAGGGCCTGAATTTAGGCTTCACACTGCCACAGTCTCACTGGATTGAGAGGCAGATGGAACCCGGAGGTTTGGTTGTCGTAGCAAGCTTTGTGATGACTTCATTGGCAGCCGTGGTAGAGGCCCAGTGTGTTTGGTCTTGGGGTGATGACTCTTAGTAGCTGTTACCCAGTGCAGTTGCTTGTGTGGATCTCTGTGGGAGCCGAATCCAGCAGCTTCCAGGGTCATATCTGGCTAGAAAAGGCTCATTCTTCGTGAGATTGTAGTGAAGCCGGCTGGGAGAGAGGCTGCAGCAGTGGTTTAGAGCTGCTCACTGGTCTTATCAACTACACATAAAGATTTTATGGATTTTAAGAAAAATTTTTTTAAGGTGAAAATAAGAGAAAAAAATGTTAAAATGTTAGTGGCGATGGCTTTGAACTAGAGGTAGATATAGTAAAGCAACATAGAACCACAACTTATAGTTGCCACCAGGAGATACTAGAAAGATAAAATGTATATGTATATTTAATTTTTCAGTGATAAGTATACATTTTCAGGAAGAAACTCTGCTTGAGGAGTGTGGCAGAAGAATTCTCAATGTTAGATGAAGTTGTTGATAGTTTCTTTCATAAGCTCTGGAAACACTTGTGAGCCTGTTCTGATTGTGGGCTGGAAAGTGCGCTCCCTTGTGGAGCCGCTGGAGCCGTAACGCTGCCCGTCTTCCTGGGGGTTTGCGCAGTGTCACATGCGGCAGCGGGGCCGAGGAGGGGATCCTGTGCGGGTGAGGGGACAGTTGCTCACACATTATGTGCTCAAATCAGATGGACTTCGGCAGTGGACTGCATTTGTAGTAAGTCCCTGTATTCAATATGCAGTTTCTCTTACTCTGAGAAACCAGGGTCTGCCTGGGTTTTACTGGGTCGACGTAGAATGCCCGCAGTTTACCTCTGTGAAATGTTCAACTGAAACATTTTAGTTCGACATAGCAGGGGACTTGAACCCTAGTCAGAAGTGGTGGGTTGTCATCCTGACTAGGGGGTCTTTGTGGGCGGGAAGGGAACGGGCTTGACTGCGTTACCTCTGTGGCCCTCCCGACTCCCACACTGGGTAGATGGGTAGCTCTCACCTCTGTACCTCAGCGCCTCTCTGCACCACACCCATAGCCTCAGGGTCTGATGCAGTGTCTGTTTCGACATTCTCTTTAGTCCAGGTTTTATTCAGCTTCACCGGAGACGGGTTGCTCAGACTCCGGGCAACTCTTCCCACACTAGCGGCACTTTTTGCGAAGAGTGTTTCCCTGACTCTAAAGCAGGTTGTGCTTTTCTGCTGTCATCCTTGAGCTGAAGGTCTAAGGACGTATTTAAGTTATAACAGATGTGCCCTTACATGATAGAAAGGGGGAAATTGAGCATTTCTGGTAATGGAGAGAAGACCGAGTCTCCGTTGCAAGCGTGAGTCCAGTGTGTAACTCCTGCACTCTGAGGCCGGGCACGGGAAAGACCCCTGCCTTGTGGATGGCCTGGCCCTCCTTGCCTCCTGGGTAAAATTCCTTCTCAGAACCTCAGGCTCTTAACAGTTTCTTCCAAGTAGTTCTTTCCAGAGTCTCTCTGTTTAACTGTGCTCCTAAGGACTACTTTGTAGCTCGATTAAAATGTGAGTACCCCTGCGAAGTGACTTGAGAAGGGGCTGGTTCAGCCACAGGTAATTTCCATAAAAAGCACTTACTTTCGCGCGGTGAGTTTAAGCAGGGCACATCCCTGATTCGGAGTTTCTTCCCACTGTGCTGGGCGTCGTGGAAGGCCCTGATGCCTGGAGGAAACCTCTGGATAAGGCCTGGCTCTTACCCTTTGCCTGTCAGCATCCAGCAGGTCCTTGTTGCCAGCCGTCCATGACAATCACTCAGGCTCACTCACGGACCTCTGCCTGGGGTTTGGTCCCGTGGAGAGTCCCTCAGCTGAAATTCGAGCCTCGCTGGTGCAGGCTCCTCACATCTCCCCACCTCCGGGGTTCAGTTTCCATGGCGGCTGCCTTCCCAGCGTCCCTCACCAGCGCTAAGCTCGGAGGAGGGGAGAGGAGAGCCGGGAGTCAGACGTAGCACGGGTGCTTCCCTTCCTGGTGTCGGAGTGCTGGCGTGCTCAGGGCCTTGGAGAAGCAGGCCAGGAGGGCGAGGTGTCTGTGGAAGGGGCCTTCTCTTTTTCCTAATTGCACTATTGTTGTTCTAGCTTCGGTCTGGAGATATTTAAGACCTCCATGGGGTCATAATCCGTTGACTTTGCGAGTCTGCCTTATCTGTGGAGCTTGGGGTGAGAAATCTGACCATGTCTGACGTCCATAGTTCATTTCCCTTAGGCTGTTTTTTCCCCCACAGATTGTGTTCACCTGAACCGTTTTATTTTTTATTTACCAAAGTACTGTACTTGGCTATTTGCAGTGTTTTCAAAACCAAATGTTTCTTTTTGTGTTTTTAATCTCCGATACTTGGTGCAATAGAAGCTGCAAAGATGTGCCACTTTATCTATGAAATGGAGTTTTGTATACCAATAAATTCTAGTTTAAAAACAAAGTTTCAAGCTGTGTCTATGTTTTCTTTTGTATGGTGGTGGGGATGAACCCAGGGCTTTGTGCATTCCGGGCAGGCGGTCTGCCCCTGCGCTGTGTCCCCAGCTCAAGTTGTTTTTATCAGTATCTGACCACCATCTGAGTGAACGAGAGGGACCAAGAAAGCATGCCGGGAAATGTCCCTTTTAGGGATCTTTGCGCGCAGATCTGTGTGCGTGCTGTCGGGTTGAGTGTTGTTGCAGCTGAGCGGGCCCTGGGGATCTGGATTGATGGGGCTTCAGTGCAGGGGAGTACAGCGCAGCACACGCTGGCAGAGCCCTCAGGCCCTGAACACCTAAGGTTCTGCCCAGTACCTCCGAACAGCTCTGGTGTTCAGTTGTCTCAGTCCTGAGCGCTGTCTGTCAGCTGTCACTTCGGGATTTCTCTAGGACCTGAGGGTTGGTTGATCCCATTCCAAGAAAAGGCTTGTGTCTGAGGACACACGTTGACAGCTGTGATTGGGACACAGACTCCCCTAGAAGTGGTCCACAGAACAGGGAGAATGGTGGCCACAGAAAACCAGGGGGAGGGGCAGCCCCAGGGCTTCCGCAGGGCCAGTCCGCCAGGGCTCTGTCCAATTAGGTGGCTGAAGGTGGCTCCCTAGACCTCAATGTACTTGCACTCAACAGGCAGCTTTCTGAGTTGGCTCTCTTTGTAGCAAAAGGGCCAGAAAATACTCTGGCGACTGGCAGGGAAATTCTCCCATGGTTGCTTAAACCTTCCTCATGTTATGTAGGCTCAGTCCACACCTGAGAGACCGGACGTCTCAGGGTGGGCATACACTCCCCAGTTCCTGAGCCAGGAAGGGTCGTGCAAAGGACCAGGGTCGGTCCCAGCTTAGGAGCTGCCCCAGTTGCAAAACTTCAGTGGCCTCCTCCATTCTACTGCAGGGATTCAGCTGGGGCCAGCGCCCCTTTCCGGGGGGTCAGGACCCCTTTCCTGGGGGCTTCACGTCTGGGCTAGGGGCCCTGTCAGGCCTTTCTAGCTGGGAGGCTGGATGTGTCTTTCAGGATGGAGACTTTTCGGGACAGGTGGGGACAAGTGGCTGTGCCCTGGTTCACGAGCTCCTTCTCGGTAAGTGCTCACGGTTAAATACCGGGGGTTTTGAGTTAGTTACCTGTCAGCCGAAAACACTAAGCACCTGGTCTTACTCTTGTACTTTTAACTTCTCCCTCAGTGCACATTCACAAAGTATTGTGGCTTCTACAGTATAATTCATCCAATGCCCTGTGTCAGTGTGGTTCTACCTGGATGGCTGGAGGAAAGAATCAGACCGTAGTTAGGCAGAGATTTACAGCTTTTTGGTTGAAAAGGTTCAAGACCAGTCCTGCCGCTTGATAGATTCTAGCGTGGTAGAAGGAAACATTTCCACCTTGCTGGATAACCTTGTTGGAACTTTCCCTGTAGTTTATCACTGGGTACTCAGGTTTTTTCAGTTTATTTACCCATGCAAACATCCAAGAATCCAGCCAACATTTACTGATCCTCTACTGTGTATGGCTCTTATTTCTGGGCATTGAAACTGACATGGACCCTGTACTCAAAAGTTTCCAAAATCGGGCATGGTGGCACATGCCTATAATGGCACTTAGGAGGCTGAGGCAGGAGGATTACTGTAAGTTTGAGGCCAGGCTGGGCTGCATAGTGAGTTCAAGGCCAGTCTGAATTACATAGAGATACCCTGTCTCAAAAAACGAAAGCTTCCAGACCAGGGACAAAAGTGGACCCAGGAGAATATATGCCTTAAAGGAGGGCTGATAAAATGGCTATGAATTCAGCAGAGAAATCAAAGAAGGCTTGGTGGAGGAGGCGACATTTGGACTGGGTGCTGGGTGCAAAGGGCAGGGAGAGGATGCAAGTGGGGAGCAAGGGCAAATGGGGAGCAAGGGCATTGATCACAAAAGGAAAAGCATAACAAAACCTGGGAGTGGGAAGTTCCATGTGTTTAGGCCATAGAATATATTAAGAATGCAGTTTCTTCAAACACTTCTCATTTGCTGTTTGCCACTGGAAGAGTACCGCTGTGCTTGCTGAGTGAATTCTAAAAATCAGGTATACTTAGTCCAGCCTGCTGATTTTTCAGCATGTGGCATTGGCCTGACTGTGTATTATGACCTGGGGCCATGACAGACAGCAGCCCTCTAAGGACAATGCTGTGTTGTCTTCCCAGCCACTTTCACTGGTGTGTCTCTAGGGACCATCAGCTCAAGGACACCGAAGGTTAATAGTGGTTTTCAGGTGCATGTTCATTTAAGATAAATGAGCGCTCAGGTGAGAGTAGCCCAGAGGCTATTCAAATGAATTAGTATAGTATTTATCTATAGTGCCACTTCCTTAGAATAATTCCAGTTGTTATGTGCCCTTGGATTCAACCGGAGTTACTTATTTAGTGTCAGTGTGAAGAATGCAATAGGGGAGGCAAAAAATTATGGAGGGTGACAGAACATAGATGGAGTGTCTCTAATGTCTCAGGTACTTTGAATACATTGTCTCAATCTTAAAAAAAATGAATGAGGCTCAGGGTTCTAGCTCCATTTGTTACTGACATAACTAACTGGCTTGAGATCACAGATTGGTAACAGAGCTAGGATTTGAACCCAAGGCCACCTGGCTCCACTGTAGAGAACCCATGTACTGGGTAAGCAGGACCAGGAAAGGTCTATGCACATTGCAGGGCAGTTGAGGAGCTTGAACCCTCCAGTTGGAAAGGGCAGAATTTGTAAAGTACCCAATGCATGTGTGAGCAAGGGAAACTGAGGCTGCTGCACAAAAGAATAAAGGCACGGGAGCAGGGGGCTTATGCTGGGAGTGTGAGGAGCATCGATGGATATGGTTGGATTAGAGACAGATGGTGACCAGCCTTGGTGCCCAGGGGCTGGTGGACAATGGTGGGCTGTTGATGGTTTGGGGAGGGGGCAGAGGAGTGACACGATGGAAATCAAGCCATCAGTGGTCAGGGTAGAGAGTAGATGGAGGGCGGAGGCCTGAGAACCTTTGGTCCTGGTAGTCTCAGTAGCTTTGGTCTAGAATTTACTAGCGTAGAAAGAATACTTACTGTCTGTCTGCCAGTTGCACATACCTAATTTTTCTGTATCTCCAGCATTCGTCAGAAAAGCCAAGAAGCATTGTTTGTACAAAACTTATCCAAAGAAGGAGGGAACTTTAATGAAGTATTCAGTTCAGTTCTCCAATGGTGGCACCCCAAAAATCCCCAAAGAAGCAGACAGATGTCTGTGAAATCATCATCAGACTTTGGTTAGCTCAGGAATTCCATTGTGCTTTCTAATCTCTTATTCATCAAGTTAACTGAACACACTTCATGCATAGCTTTTGCTAGGGCCTAAGTAGGAACAAAAGCAAAACCAATATAAGTCTTGTCATCAGAACTGGAGAGGCAAGCTGTGAAATGTTCAGGTAGCAATGTCTCCTCCTCAGCATTGATACAGTCCTTTGGCTCATCCTTCCTCCCTACCTCCCATCCATCCACCCATCCATCCATCCATCCCACCCATCCATCCATCCATCCATTCATCCATCCATCCATCCCATCCATCCTCCCATCCATCCTCCCTCCCATCCATCCATCCACCCATCCATCTTCCCATCCATCCATCCATCCATCCGTCCATCCATCCATCCGTCCCATCCATCCATTCATCCATCCATCCATCCATCCATCCATCCATCCATCCATCCACCCATCCATCCTCCCATCCATCCACCCACCCTTTCATCCATCCATCCATCCATCCATCCATCCATCCATCCATCCATCCATCCTCCCATCCATCCACCCATCCTCCCATCCATCCATCCATCCATCCATCCATCCATCCATCCATCCATTCATCCACCCAACAATCCATCCATCCATCCATCTGTCCATCCATTCTCCCATCCATCCATCCATCCACCCATCCGGTGAATCTATACACATAAAGCCCCTAGAACAGTGCCCTAAAAATACCAAATGCTTAATAAATATTATTTATTACTGTTATGCTGTTTCATTCATTCATTCGCTCATTTATTCATCCATCCATTCATTCACAGGACAGAAATATGCCTGTTATTTATGGGCTAGGCTTATAACCACGCTTTTGTTTGTGCTGACATTTGAATCCTGCCACAACCAAATTGCCAGAGAGATGTCACTGTTCCCTTTTACAACCGTGAAGACGAAGGCTGCAACCACTTATCAGCACATCTTAGATTTTCATGTGTACACTCGGAGGTCTTTTTAACCTACTGATTCTGATTCAGCAGGTCTGGGGTCAGGTCAAGCTTTCTGCCATCCTAATAAGATGCTGCTGCTATCTGCGGGCCCCACTGGGTAGTGAGGTCTATAGCACAGTGGGAGAACAAAGGTCTACCTGGGGCTTCTGACTTCAGGTTCAGGGGTTTCCTTTCCATTCTCAGTCCTTTTCGCAAGTCTGCATCTGGAAATCAGGGGTTTGCACTATAGATACACACATGTGCAAATGGAATTTAGACAGACTACTTGATTCATTCATTGATCATTTATTGAGCCCTGGGAAAACAAAGGATAAGACTTAGCACTGGCCAAGGGAGAAAACAGGAGTCATGGTAGGCTGCAGTGGGGTCTTGTTCCTGACTTGTTCTTTTCAGCCTGTTGGACAGTTTCACAGCTACAGGATCGCCAGGTACTCCTCCCATTATACCCGAAACCCACCATGCCCAGAAATAACCTCTCTATCCCACCCACACCGGCTCCTTTTCCCTGAGTTTTCTGTCTTTATACAGGAACCACCATCCTAAGGTGGTTGCAAGGTATTCTTTTGGTGATCTCTCAGCATGTTTGTTACTGAAAATGCAAACCCAGAAGTTTCCCTAGCCCACAAGCACACTGCCTGGTCCATGGAAGGAAACCCAGGGGTAAGACGAATTTAGGTTTCTGCCTTATGTAGGATGGACACCAGAGGGCGCCTCAGGACCACATTTCCGGACAAACAGGCATCATGCTTATCCTCCATGCAAGCCATTTTGCTCTGACACCGCCTTCCAGGGACTGGAGTCACAGCAGCAAAAGCACACACACATGTCCATTCCCAACTTCATTTGTTAGCACAGAGCTTCTTTGCCTTCTGAAGTTCACGACAAAGCATCCCTTTGACTTCTTAGTCTCACTGTAGTGTACAGGTTGTAAAAAGGGTGAGGGGAATCCATGTTTACTGGGCTTGGACTGTGAGCTTGGGCCAGCACAGTGCATTTGAACATCCTTTATCTCATTAAATAGGTTCATCCTGATCCTGTAGGATGGCATCTGCATCTTGTAGCTGGTGGAGATGCTGTACCCTGGCTTTAGGGGTAAAATCGGCTGAAGCTCATTGCTTCTAGGGTAGGCTGTGTGCCTCCTGGTGGGAATCCTTGAGTGAGCCTGTGATGTTAAGCCCTTTCCTCCGTGCTGTCAGGAGTCTGGCCCAGCTGCGTCTGCTCACAGCTGACCTTCCCTATACATCTGCTCTCTCCAAGGTGAGAACTGTAGAACATTAGTGGCTGATGCCACTTTTCTGGAGAAACGAAGGACCTGGGATGAGGGTACCCCCTCCATAGGACATCCCCTCTCTGACCCCCAGATGCCTGTCATTGACAAAGGAGTTTGGGTGAGATAGATCTGGAGCTACTTTTCCCTCTAAAGCAGTTTTTGCCAGTGGGGGTGTTCTGAGGCCTGATGACAGTGAGGACAATATTTTTAGGTTGATATTTTTCGCGCTTTTCACATTAAACCATATGGCCAGAAATAGTCCTCCCAGAAATTGCCATGATTATCTTGGATAAAAGAGTGTGGAAACTTAGAGAAAAAGAGTCACAGACACGGACGGTTGTTGCAGGCAGGGGCCATCGTGCCAGCTTTGTTTCCGCTGTGTTCCAGTGTCTAGTGTGGGGCTGGCACAAGGTAGGTGCTCAAAATGCGAATGAATGAATGAATCTGTAGGCACTAAATCCTAGGGTGTGAGAATCTGAGGATCGAAGAATATTAGGGAAATTATAGGGAAACATTATCCACTTATTCCTAGGGGTGGGTTAGTGAATTTTGTGGGTGCCAGAGGATCCCATGGCTCCTGGGGCTCTTCCGGGGAAGAAAGGGTGGCCCAGGAAGCCAGGGCCTGGGAGCTCTGTGGGAGAGGTTTGCAGGAAGGGAATTCTCCAGAGGGAGGGCTTTGGTTCCAAGCTTGCCCTGGCCTGGGACTACAACAGCCTGAACCTGGGCCGCCGAGACGGGCAGGGTGGGGTGGGCCCTGTGCACAGCTTGTTGGGGTAATTGACGTATTTGCGGTCGAAGGTGTCCAGGTTCTGGCGAAAGCAGAGCGCAGCCCTCTTGTCACACTCGCAGGTCTGCTTCTGGCAAGCGGTTCTGCCGCCTGGAGGGGACAAGGCAAGTCAGGGACTGAGGGTGGAGGATCAGGCCTCCTGCTCTCCGGCACAGATGGGGCGGCTCCTGGATGCTTGGGGGTCCATGCTCTTGACTCCATCAGCCACCCCCACACTGATGGGAGCCCCTGCTGTTGGGGGAGCATGTCAGGGATGGCTGAGAGGCAAAGACATGGCGTGGGAGGGCCTGGGGGCCCAGGATACCGAGATGGCCAGAAGTTTGCCCCTATGTCCTTCCTTCCTCGTCCCAGCACACTGGATGGCCCTTCGCTCTCTCCTGCATGGAGATTACTCACTGTCGCCTGACCCTGCCCAGGTGGGTTTCTAGGCCACCCCTTTCCCTGTGATGGTGCACTGTGGCCATAAGCAGAGGAAAGCTAAGAAATGTAGCAATCATCCCCCAGACGGCCTGTAGGAGCCCCCGAGGGGCCTGTGTCCAGGTTGGGGCTGTTAGGCCAAGCGGAGGCCTACTCGGGACCTCTGTCTGTCCCATCAGAGTGGATAGAGCCTATTTTTCTGCCTATACCCAGCCTGGGAATCAGACTATCCCCTTCTGCCTTCCCTAAAACCAGCTGGCATCAGTGCTGCAGGTGCCCGGCTCCTGAAGGACAGCTCTTTTCTCTGCTGCAGCTGCCTCTCTGTCCAGAGTGAGTCTGGTGCCCTTTTTTCCCACAAAGACATCTCCCTGTCCAGAGGGGTCCTGCTGCTTCACTTCCCGCCTGAGGAAGCGCCTCAGTTCCCACAGGATTCTGCCCAGTCCTACTTCAGTGGGACTCAGAGGGGAAGGGGTTTGGCGTTCTAACAGCCTCTTTGGGGATTCTCACCAGCAGCTGAACTGAGCTGGGGAAGTGGGCATGATCATCTCCATTTTATAGCTGAGGAGGTAGACACCTTCTAGGGGCTGTCACCTGTCCAAAGTCACACGCTGGGCAGAAGGTGAAGCCCAGAGAAGAACCCAGACCCTGTGTCTCATCTACCTGACACCTCCCTCCACTCATTCACTCAGCACCATCTTAACAGCTGATTGTCCCAAACTTGCATGACCCCCCAGCAATGGGGAGCTCACTACCTAACAAAGCTGCCCTGCTGAGCGGAGCACGGCAGAAACAAGGAGCTCTGAGTCAGCTTTGCCTCGTCTGACTTCCCAGGGCCTTCTCTGCACCCCACACCTGCTGCGCCCTGCCCTCCCTCCAGGCTGCGCTTGACTTTACAGCAGGAAGAAGGCCTGGTCCTTTGATCTGCACACCCCCCTCACACACTCTCTTGGTGGAGGCTGCTTCCCGAGTCGGGCCCCAGAGGAAAGCTAATTGGTCCAAATGGGCACTGGATATGGCAGAGTGGAGGAAAATGGGCCCAGTCTGACAGCCCTAGTAGGGAAGCCAGCCCTTGGGAACAGTTCCAAATTTAAGTTCCAGTTGGCTCCATCCTGGGGATGGCTGTGAGTCCAGCTGCTGTGGATGTGGCTCAACTTGGCCACCTTTGTGTCTTCCCCAGAGTGGAGCTGGGCGGTGTCTCTTAGTGGGAGGAGGCACTGGGTTGAGGCGGGGTGGGGGCCACAGTGAAGGGGGCCACGGGGTCCTCCAGCACCAGTGCCCAGTGGGCGTCTGGATGGATGGGTCAGGCTCTCTACTCTTTTTTTTTTTTTTTTGGTCTGGACTGGAGATCAAACCTAGGCCCTTGTGCATGCCAGGCAAGAACTCTACCACTGAGCCACATCCCTAGCCCACGTCCTCTCTGCTCCTTTATGATGATGGGAAACATGTCTCCAGCCCAGGTTCTGGCCCTGACAAGGTCAAAGGTCATTGTCAGGAGGGGCTTCCTGTCTCACACTGCAGCCCACCCCACCCAGATCTGCGTCACTCCAGGGCTCTTCTCTTACCACAGACGATGGTATCCCGGCTGACAGAGAAGAGATACTTCTCCATTTTGGGTTCACAGCCCAGATTCTTCACACGCCCATAGCAGCAGTCGTGAGCATGGCAGCACCTGTGGGGTGACAGTCAACTTGCAGGGGCCTGTGAGCCAGGCCAGGCTGGAGCCGGGGCTGCCCAGGGCCCAAAGGGGCTTAAAGGGGAGGGTCAGTCTCTGCGTCCAGACGTCCTCAGGCCCTCCCTCCTCCTGGGCCGCTCCAGCCCTTCCTCTGCCCAGGGGGCCCCTGCTGGCCACTTCCTCACCAATCCGTCTTGTCCACAGGCCAGCGGGAGCCACCGAGGCCACAATAGCAGCCATAGTCGTTGTACTGCAGCGCTGCCTTCCCCGTCATCTTTTCGATCATAATCCCAAACTGGACCAGGTTCCCGCTGGCCACAGCCACTGTGGGGGGGAGGGCAGAGGGCAGAGGCCAGCATTTCTCTCAGGACCACCGAACAGCTCCTCCGGGGTCCCACCCTGAAGTCTCCTCAGATCGAATCCCAGGCACCTCACCTGTCCAGCTAAGGTCTCCACAAAGCACCCAACTACCAATAAGAGTGACAGGGAGTGATACCTCAGATGGCACCCTTTGCACTTTAATCCCTTCGTCCCCACCCCACCATGTCCCTGTCACCCATGGCACCTGCCCCCCAGCTGTCTCCCAGAATATCACGCACTCGCCCCTTCTGGGGCCTTCTCATTGGCTATTCAAACCTCTCCCAGACAATCATTATCTTCTCCCCAGCTGTTGGCCCCTGTCTCCCCCCAGATCTCACCAGACACCACTGGACATATTTCCTAACCACCTTAATGAATCTCCCTGAATCCCTCAGGGTCTTTCTGATTCTGATGGGGGTGGGGGGTGTCCACCGAGGCAGGTGGGGCCAGAAATGGAAGCCAGGGTGAGGGAGGAGCCCTGTGTGTACGGCTGGGGTCCCTCCACCCCCTGTCCTATGCCCCCTCTTCTCAGGCTGCATTCTCCTCGTCTCCCTCCCCTCTCCTGTAGCATTGCCAGTTTAGGCCAAACTGGCCTCAGGATCACCCCGGTTGGTGGCATGAAGAAGGTGACCTTTGGCATTTTGTACCCATGACACCCTCTGTAGAGCCAGGCTCAGGGATGTCCAGGGTGCTTGGGGTTGCCAGATGGGGTGGGGCTGGGGGAGGTCCCAGAGGTCACTTACCCAGGATGCAAAGGAAGGTCAGGACAGGGGGAGGTTTCATCCTGCAGGGGAGGTGAGCAGGGGGCAGACGAGCCTGCAGCAGTGGAAGGAAGGGAGCAGGGTCGCCTCTGATCTCAGGGCACCTCCCAGTTAGTTAAATACCCATGTCCTGTCCACTCCCCGTCATTAACCCTTGAGTGCCCAGTGATGCAATGATTCTTCCAGGCCTGACAATTTGGCCAAATCCCCAGGGGAGGGGCCAAGCTGGGGCTTGTGGGCCCTGCTTCCAGGCTGCGTGGCAGTGAGGGTGGGGCCCATCCCATGGGTCTCTTCCTTCTTGTACACTTCCTATTACCTACCGCTTCCAGAATCACCTTCCTAACTCCCATAGACTGCGCTGGGGGCCAGTGGCTGTGCTGTACTTTTCATTCTTGGTATCTCTTCCTCGGTCCTATTTTGCCAGTTCATCAACTGAGACCCAGAGAGGTGGGGCGACTTCAGTTCTTCCAGCCTGGGTGGGCCCGTACCGAGCCTGTCATTTTCCATGGTTCTACTGGGCAGAACCGGAGGCAAGATGTCCTCCCCTGCCTTCCCTGCTCCCGACCTGCAACTGGGATAACTTGACCATCCACTTCTGTCACTGTTCAGGGTTTGTGAGCTGCTGAGTCTGTGGCCAATCCTGGTTCTTCTGCTTGTTACGTGGCCTTGGGCAGGTCCTTTCTTTGCTTAGAATCTCAGTTTTCCTGTCTGCGTTATGAGGATGGGAGGCCTTGCCTCCCTCCAGCCACTAAACAGCTGGCCTTCTCTGAGTATGCACCAGGCACAGTGCCAGCCCTCTCCCCCAGGATCTCAGCAAGCCTTCAACACCTTCCCGTTCTCCAAGGAAGACACTGGAGCACGTGCCTAAGTAAATAGTGAGCCGCAATCTGGGCTTGGGTATCCCAAAGGATTTACCCAGGAAGGATAAAGGACCTACCAGGCAAAGAACGCACAGTGCCTAGCACCCATGAAACACTGGGGTGCCCTCCAAAATCTTCTAATTTCTTACAAAATCAGAAGAACAATGAGTATAAGCCAGCCTGGGTTATATTTGTCTTTACATTAACAAAGTTGTAAAATTTAAGCTTTAATTTTTTTTTTTTTTTAAGCTGGAGGAAAGGCCTATGCAGGAGAAGTATCCAAGGCTCACGATAGAGGTCATGCTGAGTCTCGGGGCGGAACCTGGCTTCTGGCCCTGATTTGGGGCCTGGTTCAGCCTTCTTTCTGGGCGGGGAGTCCTGGGAGCAGTCAGTGGCTGGGACTCCCAGGAAGGAATTCAGACACAAAGTGCGCTGGCCAGAGGCTGGAGCTCCTGGGGAGATCTCGCAGTGGAGTCTGGCAGGGAGGACTGAGCTACACAGATCGGATCTCTGGGCCTCAATTTGGGCTTAAAGCTCAGTAAACAGGCTGTGCATGGTTCCTCAGCCCTGCCTCCTGCCCCACCCGTTCGCAGCTGCTAATGGCTCCCCTGGGCCTCTTGCTGTGTTCTTGCCCTGCTAGAGGGAAGATTGGGGGCAGGCGACCAGAGAGGGAAGTCTATCTGGCCCGAAGCACCCAGCAGCCATGAGTCATGGTCTCCTGGGAGTGGGGGCTGCTCTTTGTTCACCGTTTCCTTTTGATTTTAATGAGGGCAGCTCCTGGCAGCCCCTGGCTCCTGGCCTGGGTCACCAGAGCCCAAACACTGAGTCACTGAGGATCTGCCTCCTAAACACTTGAAAATTAGCTTTGGTTCTCAGCGAGGTTTGGCTCACAGCCGTTCCTGCTGCAGCAGGGCTGTTCCCCAGGGAGAACGAGGTGTCGAACACAATCGCCTTTGTGACCCATTTTAAGGAGGGGGCCTGGTGAGCCCCTGCAGGTCTGTACCTCTGGCAGAAAAAGCAAGGATGTTGGCCAGAGCCCGGTGGGGGTAACACAGCAATGACAAGACTGTTACGCTGCAGTATTGGTAGAACGCGGGCCTGGAGGACGGCTTTAGGCATCTGGGAAAGGTCATCAGCAGGATGGTTCTCACACCATCAGTGCAGTGTGGCAGAAAGCATCAGCTAGGGCGGGTGTCAGCCCCTCCACTTAGGGGCTGTGTGACCACGACCCAACCCATCACTGTCCTAAGCCCAAATCCATCATTCATAAAATGAAGATGATTAAACTGACAGGTCAGGGTGATAGACCAGACAGAAAGAAAATGAGAGGTGGAAAACGCTTGGCAGGAGGCCTTGCCCACAGCAGGAACCTGTAAATACCATGTCCCTTCCTTCCTTCCGCCCTTACCAGGCCACAGAAAATGCATCTGCTGTCCCTGAACTCAAAGCACTTACCCTTACTGGGGAACAGCATGCAGCGGGGCCAGGGCTGCCACCATTTCGGTAGGATTGTTAGCCCCATTTGACAGATGGGAGTGTGGAGGCGATTGGGGGAGACAAGCAGGGGTGCTGGGGATGATGGGTGGAAGTGACGGGGGGTGATGGATGGAGTAGCTGGCATGGAAGCGGGGGTGGAGACTGGGGTAGAGGTGAGTGGATGGAGCAGAGACCAGGCTCTCAGCACTGTCTTTTTTTCTTTTGATATGAATATGTCTCTTTAAGCTTAGTTGTCTCGTTGTCATCATCATCATCATCATCACCATCGTCCTAATAATAAAAATGACAAAAACAAATGACTACCATTTGCTAATGGGACACGCCTCTCATTTACTAAGTTCCTGCAATGGTGAGGACACTGTGCCAAGAGCTCTAATCTTCTCATTGCTTCTCGTTACGGCCTTCTGTGGCTCCCCTCAGAACTTTAAGGATCCTACAAACTATAAATCCTGGAAGAATTAATTGCTCACTTGGTCAGTAAACTAGTTGAGGACGTACTATGTGCTGGGGCTACAATGCAGGGCAAGACCAAGGGTGGTTTCCTATTGGCTGAAATCAGTGAAGATTGGAGGTAGGGGAGGTTTCTGACACGGTCAGATCAAGACTCTGGCTCTGTTTCCTTCGCAGCTCTTTCCGTCTTGCTTCTTCCCAGTCTCACCTTTGTCCGTGAGCTGACTTCTGTCATGGGTGGAAGATGGCTGGCTGCATGTACCAGTAGGGCCTTCTTCCGCTTCCTCATTTCCACTGGGGAAAACAGGAAGCAAAGTTTCCCAGCTATCACACAAAGTTTTCTGCTCTGTTCTAGAGGACCAGGCTGGCCTGACTTTTGTTGCAAAGGGAGGAGGAGATGGAAGCTGATTGTCTTGTCCTTTAAGGCCCACCCTTGAACCTGGGGAAGGGGAAATATGTCACTCAGCTGCACAATAGCTACACAGTATGGAAGGAATGGCTTCTCAAGTTAGCATCCAGGTTCTGTTAATCCAAGGATTAAGAGGGTGAAAAGTTGCTGCAGAAAGGACCAGAGCATCGGAACGTGTCCCTTTCACTTTTATGTTTGCAGAAACAAGAGTATTTTTTTTTTTTTTTTGAGACAGGGTCTTGTTACGCAGTTCAGGCTGGTCTTGAGCTCACTTTGTAGCCCAGGCTAGTCTCAAACTCACAAAAATCCTCCTGCCTCAGCCTCCCGAGTGCTGGGATTACAAGCGTGCACCACCACGCCCAGCCCAACAAGAGCATTTCTAGAACCACCTTTAGAAAAGTCCAGAATGACTATTAAAGTGAAGGTGGGGAAGGAGAATGCTCACTTTTGTGATGTAGGGGAGAAAAGCTAAATCCAAACCAATTCAGTAAAAGTGTGGAGCTCAAACTATATATACTACTCCCAGAGAAAAGTCCAGAAGAATCTCAACTAGGTTTGGGCAGCACTAGAGAACTAGCTTTTCTGTAAGCTTCAGATTCTTAATCCAGAAATATGAGTTTTGCCATCATAAGTTGTTGAAAGGTATCTAAGTGACGATCAGAAAGCCGGCAGAAGAAGAATGGACCATAGTGCCTCTGGGACAGCCAGAACACACAACAAATGGTTGATTCCCTTATACAAAGAGAAGCAACAAACTGGAAGAAAACCTAGCAAGATAAGATACACAAAACAAGGAACTCAAAACCAAAGCAAACCAGCGCAGGTGTTCCCAGAAAATCTTACCACACAAATAGAAAAGCTGCCAGAAGTCAGAGAGAAACTGCCAGGATAGTAGCAAGTGCTCCCCTCCCACCGAGTGGCCTGGAGATGCTCAAAACAGGTGCACATTACTGGTTACCAAGTCTTGACACCATGAGACAAGAATTCAACACATTCAGTTTGGCAAACTTTTATGTTTCCAACATTGTGTTAACTGAGAAGATGAGAAACTTCCGTGCTGATTTCAGTGGGCTCAGACAAGCGATGTGTGTGTGTTGGTAGTGGAGATGTGGTGTGGAGCACCTGAGCGTCACAGAGGAGGGGACAATTACTTCTTCCTGGGAAACCTTGAAATGGAGCTGTGGAGAGGAGCTGTCACCAGAGCTGCAGCCTTTAAGGATGATGAGGGTTCAGTCGATGGTCAGTAGGGATGTACAGTGGGAACCATGGCCAGCCATGTCCAGTCCTCTGAATATCTTTGTTTTCCTCTGTGCAGCGTCCTTGTTCTTTCCTTTGATATCACCACCTTGGTCTTTGGGATAAAATCTCTCGTTCTATACGAACAGCTCCAATCACAACGAAGCCCCACCCCAAAGGTGGCCACATGACCCAAGTCAGCCAATCAGACACTCTCCTGGCACTATCTGTCTTCAGCAGAGTTTGTATTAGTTTAAGGCAGATGGGGCAGAGCTCTTCTATCTTTGGCATCCAAAAGAAACTATCTGAGGTGCTGCTACCGAGATTCCCTGAGTCTTGTCATTCTCAAGGCATGGTGGATCGGGTCCTCCTTCATTTCACAAACCACTGAGCTTTCTTTCACCACTTTTTTTGTTTCACTAGCCAAAATAAATTGCTGTAGCGTCAGCTTGTAATCCCATCACTCTGGGAAGCTCAGACAGGAGGACTGCAAGTCTGAGGCCAGCCAGGACAACTTAGTGGGACCCTGTCTCAAAAAGGCTGAGGATGCATCTCAGTACAAAAGTCTGGGGTCAGTCCCTGGTACTGAAAACAAAATTGCTATAGCTTGCAGCCCAAAGAACCAGTTGGTATGGAATTGGTACCAGGATGAGGGTTGCAGACAATAAGCCCAAAAGGAAAGAAGAAATCTGACACAGGTTACGGGGAAGACATAGTGCAGTGACTTGGCACAGTTACTGCTCATGGTATCACAGCTGCTAAACAGCCACCTGCTCACCAAGGGCAAAGCTTGGTGGAGTTAGTGGTGACTGCCAGAGAGAGGCCTCTTGGTGATGTTACTGTACCAGCAGCAATCCTTTCTAGGTTCTTCCTGTCCCATTCAAAGAATTGGACAACTGGTGAATGTGGAGGTTTAATGTTTCTTTAGGGCAAAAGAAGGAGG